GCCCGAGGGTGGCCTCTGGCAGTGCCCTCTGCCCGTGTGTGCACGCCGTCCGCAGGCCCAAGGGTGGCCCTCTGGCAGTGCCCTCTGCCCGTGTGTGCGTGCCGTCCGCAGGCCCAAGGGCGGCCTCTGGCAGTGCCCTCTGCCCGTGTGTGCACGCCGTCCGCAGGCCCGAGGGTGGCCTCTGGCAGTGCCCTCTGCCCGTATGCGCGTGCCGTCCGCAGGCCCGAGGGTGGCCCTCTGGCAGTGCCCTCGTGGAGGGGAACGATGGGTTCCTTGCACTCTCCTAGTTTGAGCAGCTCACGCTGGGAGTCCCTGTGCCTTGGCTTCCCCGGCACTGCTCTTCTCACTTCTGCGAGCCTCAGCTTCTACAGTGAACTGTCAACCCCCCACTGATGCACCGGCGTGCACGGCTAACCCGCAGGCCGTGCGCTCGGGCAGGGCCACTCCAGCCATCCGCGAGACAAGGATGGGCAGTCTGCTTCCACCGAGATTCAGGGCCTCAGAAACCCGACGGAGCGGAAGCCAAAACCCCGCGTCGGACCCGCCTCAGCACTGCTGTAAGGTGCTGTGTCTGACGTTAACTCTAAAACCCTACAACCCAGAAAACACCCACCAAAGCAGCAGCGGGCCAGCTCAGTTCCTCGCTTCCCTAAATTTGTGCCCAGCACAGGGAGAACGTGGGCATCACCAGGACACTGCTGGGCCTGCCAGTGAGGCAGCGCTCCTTCCCCGGGGCTCCACCCTGACTGCAGACCCCAGGCCAGCTCTGAAGTTCTTGCTCGAGTCCCTGGGTTCCCACGCTGGGCTCCTACCTGCACCAGCTGCTCCGTCGAAGGAGACACTTCCGTTTCCTTGCGTGTCACCCCGAAGCTCCCCTTGAGGCTTGTGTCCTTGACCTGCTGCTGCAGCAGAGGCACCAGGTACCTCAGGGCAAGCAGCACCCCCAGGATGAGGAGGGTCGGCGGCTCACCCCCAACAGGAACAAGCAGGCCTAAAAGCACAGTGACCAAGTCCTCAACCTCAGGTCCTCGGGGCGGGGACCCCAACGCTACTGAACAGTCACACAGCGAGCAGCGTACAGCTAAGAGAACGTGAGGACACCCCTAAAACACGGAGAAGCGGAGAAAGGGGAGCTCAGTGAAGGGGAACACAGCTGGCCGTGAAGACGGAAGCAATCTCGCCAACAACGTATGCGGAAACCAACACCGAAAACCTAATTGACTGGGGACCTGTCAGCTAGAGCACAGGTCTGGGGGGGCAGGGGGTGCTAACCCAGAGGCCCCCCCCATTTCCTGGCAGCTCGAATCCACCAGCAGCTCCGCTGGAGAGAGCCAAGTAATCTCCTCTCGTGCAACTGACAGCCTGGGCCCAGGGAAAGGCCAGCAAGGAGCCAGCCCGACGGCAGGGGTACTTCCCGCTTGCCTGGTGTCTGAATCAGGCAGGCATCCTGGGTATGTCCGCCCACGACTTGAGGACAGCTCGTGTGGACTTCTGGAAGGATCTACACTACACAAGTGGAGCTGATGGAGAAGGTGGTGCTGGGAAGATGCCAGGACTCCAGGCCCCCAGGGGCAGGGGTGGGCCCAGGAAGGCACGAGGATGACATCCTCTGACTCTGCGGGGCACCCAGGGCTCTGCCTGCCCCGAGTCTGAGAGAATGGGCTCTGGCCGCCCGCTCCGGTTCACCCTGCTGTCAGCACGCCTGGCCAGATGCCCCGGCGCCCGGGGAGTCGAGCAGGGACTGTCCCGGCCAGGTGCCCCGGCGCCCGGGGAGTCGGGCAGCAGCGCCCAGGGAGTCGAGCAGGGACTGTTCCGGACAGATGCCCCGGGGAGTCGGGCAGGGACTGTCCCGGCCAGATGCCCCGGCGCCCGGGGAGTCGGGCAGCAGCGCCCGGGGAGTCGAGCAGGGACTGTCCCGGCCAGGTGCCACGGGGAGTCGGGCAGGGACTGTCCCGGCCAGATGCCCCGGCGCCCGGGGAGTCGGGCAGCAGCGCCCGGGGAGTCGGGCAGGGACTGTCCCGGCCAGGTGCCCCGGCGCCCGGGGAGTCGGGCAGCAGCGCCCGGGGAGTCGAGCAGGGACTGTCCCGGCCAGGTGCC